TCTATGAGGAGGAATATGGCATCAGGATTGGAGGAAGACCATCAACAACCTGCATTATGCAGATGACACAACCCTGCTTGCTGATTCTGAGGAGGACCTGAGGCCTGTGCTGCAGAAGAGAACCAATTCGTCCTGGTTAGTTCCTAGAACTCTAATTCAGAGAGTTCTAGTGGTACAGTAGGAAGGGATTACAGTGCCAACACAAAGGTATGCAGTTTGAATCCACAAGCCTCTCAGTGGGACAAACATGGGCAATCTCTTCCCGTGCAATGTACTGCATTTGAAAACCCATTGGAGGGACAGCTATGGGTCTCATCTGACCCAGTGGCACATGACAACAGCAACAACAACTCCTGGAACACCTCTCTCAAAGGCCTACTTCCCAAGGCAGGTTAGGTCAAAGGCTACCACTCCCATTTCTGCTGAAATTGCTGGTCCTGGGTCCTATGCCCTCAGAATGGATAATTATCACTATGAAACTATATGGAGTAGTTCCTCTCTGACACCACGAGTTTGCCATCAGTCAGAATTGACCCAATAACAACTAGTTAACACATTGGCTGTGGACTTGTTAGGCCAGCGAAGAATTCTTTTATCCTTTAACCTTCTTCTTTTTCTTAACCCCATTTTTTTGCCTTGTCGATGCTCCACTCTGAAGACGCTGGAAGTCCTCAGCCTGTGCCAGTGTAGGCTGTAGAAATCAACCATTGGCCTCCTAGTAAAGGCCCGGGATTGAACTGTATGTGATCTTGATCTTGAAACAGGGGCACACTGATAGCATACACATCAATGACCTCTAAATGGTTTGAGGAAGAGGAAATAAAAGAATAGGGGAACATGGAGAAAGTGGGAGAGGAAAGAAAGAAGAGAGAGAGATTGGGAAAAGAAATAATTTCTGGGAGTTCATTAGAAAATGACTGTGTACAGACTTAGAGAACACAATGGAAATAATAAATAATTCCTTTCTGACAGATATTCATTCAGCCTGTGTTTGCGTATTTCCAATGACAATGAGCACACTATTTTCCAAGGCTATCTAGATTAAAAGTGCTTTAAAGTGCTAACAAGAAAGGATGCCACTTTATGGACTAAGGTGTGCCTGACCCAAGCAAAGTATTTTCAATTGCTTTATATATGTGTGCGAGTTGGACACACATAAGAAAGATCAAAGTTAAAAAGAAATTAAAAAAAGAAAGATCAAAGAATTAATGTCTTAGAATTGTGGTACAAGCAAAGAGTATTGAGAGAACATGGAAATACAGCCCAAATGTCCAAACAGAATAGAATGGATTGAGAAATTGTGGTGCATTCACAGAATGGAACACTGTGCGGCACTCAGGAGCAACAATTTCGAAAAATACTAACTTGGGAGAGACTGGAGAGCATTATGCTAAGTGAACTAACTCAGTACCATAAGGACAAATACTGTATAAAATCATTATTGTAGAAATAGATTAACTAGTAAAATGTGTATGAGGATCTAAATGGGGGGGGAAAGCAGAAAGGTAATTATGGGGTTGCACAGTTTGATGGGTGAAGGGAGGTGGGATGAAGACGGGGATCAGGTGTGAGGGGCAATATATACAAACGTTGTATGTAAACCAGTGTAAAATTAAAACAATAATTGCAAGGAAAAACCCCATTTTTTTAAAAAAGACATATCTGTTTGTTCTCTTGGCAGTCCATGGTATATTACTACTCTTCTCTAGCACCACCACTCAAAAGCATCAATTCTTCTATCATCCTCATTCATTGTCCAGCCTTCCAACCCTTTCCCCAGGCTTTCGTCTTGAACCTCTTTCCAGCAGGACTAATATTTCCTGCAAGCATCTCAATCAGAGAGTGTTTGGAGGATTGTCCACCCAAAAAAATGATACTCTGGCATGGCGTCTCTTAGAAACACACATCTCAAGCCCTAGCATAAATGGAGGTCGGATGCTACACAACTTAAAGCAGGTACCTAATGGGGTGCACCAGAGTATAAGCTGTTCTTGGGCTGGAAGTTAGACTATCAAAGCCACGGCAGAGGCGTTCTGACGTTTTGCAGGAGAGACATCTGCCGAGGGTACTCTCAGACTGTCAAAACATCCTGGAATAGAGTATTTGTCTCACGCTTTGCACCTTGCTCTTGGCTCCCTCGCTTAAAACACTAACCTTGTCCATTTGTGCTCTCACCTGAACTAAGTAAATAAGCTTCTAAGCGTTCTTCCCCCCCACCCCTCTCTTCTTGGTATCCAAGATGAGAGTGGCAGGCAAAAGGTTAGTTCTAATGTACCTGAGTAAACGGATATACAACTGAAAAGCTCCCCTGGGCCCGTCGCCCCTACCTCAGCAACACTGCCACCCTTTGACTTAACCCTGAGAAGTCTTATCCTTGGAAAGTGGAAAATTCCACAGCCAAATATTCAAACAGTCACTCTGTAGAACACAGCTTGTTCCCTCTCCCAGTGACAATTTGGATCTACGGGATGGAGAGAGGCATGTTTGGCAAATGGGACTCACTAACACAGAGTACAGAAAAGGTTTTTAATGAGTTTCAAAGGGACCGATAGCAACTTTAGTTGGGCTTATGGTAACCTGCTGTATATCAGACTAGGGCTGTGTCCATAGGTTTTCTTTTTAAAATAATTTTTAAATTTTGATTGTGATTTTAACAAAAGTTTACCAAAAGTTTGATTTTTCATTCATTCATTCATTCATTCATTCCTTGTTGCACATTTTTACCCCCTGTCCCTCCCTTCTACCCCTTTCAGTTAACTTTTTGGGCTTCTTAAAATATTCATTCATTGTTGCACAATTACCTCCTTCCCCTCACTCTCCCCAGTCCTCTCTGCAATCTATCTTTTTCTGGGCTGTTGTCATATAGGTTTTCAATGGCTGATTTGGGCGATGGAGGGGAAACTAGATTGCCAGGCCTTTCCTCTGAAGCACCTCTGGGTGGACTCCAATTTCTCATCTTTATGATAGCAGCAGAGTGAGTTAACCTTTCATACCACCCAGAAGCAAACTGACAGCTCTTTAATGAGGGGAAAGTGTGAGGTGCAATGTATATGGATAAAACCCAATGTATACAAATTTTGTATGCAAACCCAGACAAAATTAAAGTAAGCTTAATTTTTTTAAAAAAAAATAACAAAACAAACAAAAAACCCCAACAATTCTTTTCCTTTCTTCTTCCCTAGTCTTCTAAATTTTCAACAAATCTAATTTAGGGGATAAGAAACTGGGGGATAGGACACCTGATTTGCGAGAATTCAAATTTGAGCTGCTAGGAAGCAAAGGATGAAAACCAGTTTATGTATGAGGTAAATGCCCCTCCCTGGAGGAAGCCCCCCAAAAGACCTCTCCTGCCCTACTTGCCACTCCAACTGATTATGATAATCTTGTTTGATTAAAAGCACTCCTAACAGTAACTGAGAATTCGTTATCAAGCAAACGTTTCTTTTCTTTACACTGAGGTTTGTTTTTAAGCTAGTACTTGAGGCTGAGGAAGAAAAGTGGAAATTTAATATTCAGCTATGAACGAAGAGGGGGGATGTGATTAGAGTCAATCATATCTTCTGCTAAACAGGAGACCTGATGAACGTCCCTGTCCCTCCAAAGGCCTTGGTGCATCAGTGAAGGGAGAGAGAGGGGCAGGACAGCCGTGAGCCAAGGACTTGGAGGTTGTCTAGTAACTTGGTCATTGTAAGGGGAGGGGCTAGCTCAGGGCCTGAGTGAAGCCTGCACTGGGCTGCTGCCTTCAGAGAGCCGGAGGGGCAGCAAGCTGAAGGAGGGAGAGAAAGAGAGAGAGAGAGAGAGCTGGAGAGAGATCTTCAATGATCAAAATCTACACCTGGCAATCTGCCAGTCTTGACTGCCAGTGATGACCAGGACGGCACTGGCTCTCTGAACCCACGACTCCTCCCCTGGCACTTGAGAATTTGAGCCGCAGAACTAGTATGCCCGGGTAGGTAGCAGCCTGCACACTTGAAGCCATGGAGTCATCCTTGTCCTTTGGTGTGATCCTTGCCGTCCTGGCCTCCCTCATCATCGCTGCCAACACGATCGTGGCCGTGGCCGTGCTGATGTCCATCCCCAGAAGCGACGGGGTGAGTCTCTGCTTCACCTTGAACCTGGCCGTGGCTGACACCTTGATTGGCGTGGCCATCTCTAGCCTTATCTCAGACCAGCTCTCCTACCCTGAACGGCTCACCCAGAAGACCCTGTGTGGCTTTCGGATGTCATTTGTCACCTCCTCCGCAGCTGCCTCTGTGCTCACAGTCATGCTGATTGCCTTCGACAGGTACCTGGCCATTAAGCAGCCCCTGCGCTACTTCCAGATCATGAACGGGCTGGTCACAGGGACCTGCCTGGCCGCGCTGTGGTTGATGTCGTACTTCATTGGCTTCCTCCCACTCGGGGTCCCCATATTTCAGCAGTCCACCTACCAGGGCCCCTGCAGCTTCTTTGCTGTGTTTCACCCCCACTTCGTGCTGACCCTGTCCTGCGCTGGCTTCTTCCCAGCCCTGATCCTCTTCGTCTTCTTCTACTGTGACATGCTCAAGATCGCCTCCACGCACAACGAGCACATCCGGATGATGGAGCACGCTGGGGCCGTGGCTCGAGCTTACAGGCCCGCACGGAACCCGGGCGACTTCAAGGCTGTCCGCACTGTGGCTGTTCTCATCGGGAGCTTCACTCTGTCCTGGTCCCCCTTCCTTATCACCGGCATCGTGCAGGTGGCCTGCCAGAACTGTCACCTCTACCTCGTGCTGGAACGGTACTTGTGGCTGCTTGGAGTAGGCAACTCCCTGCTCAACCCACTCATCTATGCATATGGGCAGAAGGAGGTGCGGCAGCAGCTCTACCAGATGGTCCTGGGGGCGAAGAAGTGGCTCGTCTCACTCCTCCCCATTTCCTCTGCCGGGAAAGGTGATCCAGAGGGCCCCAGGGAATGTCCCTGCAACGTTGTCACTGTCGCTTGATGGCCGAGATGGTGAGAGCAGATTCTCAGTGCCTTTCTTTTCTCTCCCCTCTCTGGGCACCGATTAGGACACGGAGCAGATGAAGCTAGTGGAAAGTGTTTCTGAAAGTTGACCACTACTCACCTCTCCCCCAGTGGCGCTGAGAGACCAAGGAGGCAGGGGACTCATTCTAGAATGACTCCCCATTCACATACAAACCTCCTCCCTTTCCTTTTGACATAGCCTGCTTGTACAGGTGGGATGGCTGAAAGAAATGTTGTAGAAAATATACTAGCAGAAAGATGCTGGCAAGTCAAATCTTCGCACTGAACACACTCGAGCAACACTGCCCAATGCAGACAGAATGCAGGCCACGTATATTTCCTTAAATGTTCTAGCCAGCACGTCAAAAGGGTAAAAAGATGGCGTTCATTTTAATCACTTACTTTAACTTGATTTTGTTAAGTGCACACAGCAGAACATGCATCAATCCAACAGTTTCTGCATGTTGCATTCGGTGATAGCGATGACATTCTTTGAATTGCACATCCATTCACCCTCCTTTTGTGGGCTGTTTCCCCTCCCCATTAACATCAACCCACTGCCCCCCTAAGCTTCCCAGCTTATTTCATCAGTTTCATCTTTAAACAGTTTATCCCAAACACCATCATAGCAACATGTCATCGGTATAAAAGAATTGGCTCTTTCATTTCCATCCCAAGTCTTTGCTGTCCCCCCTTAACAATTCACACACTACCCACATGTCAGATGCTGAACAGTGGCTGTTGTGCTGGACCGCACAGCATCAGAGCAAAGAGGTTCGGCGCTTGTCACACTTACTGTAGTGCAACAATAGTGGTCACATTGGTGATGAGGTATAAATCAGACATTTCACAGAGTGAGTTGATAGAAAGGTGTCAAAACCTGCATTCTATTACAGAAGCTTGCCTTTTTTTTCCAACCATGTGGTTCAGGCATACCCTGTTTTATTGTACTTTGCTTGATTACTCTTTTTTTTTTCTTCCCAAATTCAAGGTCTGCGGAAACCCTGCATCGAGCCAGTTTGCAGCCGGTCACCACTTTCCCAACCTCTTGTGCTCACTTCTTGCCTGGTACTCTTCGCGCTATTTTTAACTTCTTCTCCATGCTACTACACACTCAGTGGATTCCAATAATCATGTCAACGTAACTATTAGATGCATTGAGAAACTCCAAAATCCGTGTGGCTGCCTTTATTGTGTTATCTGTCTTATTGCGACGGTCTGGCTTCGAACCTGCACCCTCTCTGAGATATGCCTGCAATGAGTGTGCATAAAGTGTAGGAACCTGAATTGAATTCCAAAGTGTGTCTCTTCTCACACCTCATAGCACTCAAGACAGTGGGGGGGGTTGGAAAGGGAGGGAAATATCGTATTTTGCAGTAATTTTGGCTATTACTCCTCCCAACCCATCAACTCAGTGATGCTCCTTCCCCTCAGTTGGCCAGTAGTCTGTAGCTACTTGCTGGTGACAATGTAGACCTGCAAATTCCGAGACCCTGGGAGGGAAGGAAGAGGGAAAGTTGGGGGGAGGAGGGAGATCAACACAGGTGCTGCCACGGTTTCCACTCACTTTGCTCCTGAGGACTCAATCTCCCTCAGGAATCTGGGTGGGACACAGGGACATCATTGCACCACAAGGCGCCATACTTGAGTTTTCGAAATCCCCCTTTTAGCTTACATTAACTCCCAGCTTTCTCTCATCAGAGGGTCATGCTCATTTCTTGCCATGTCTGTTCTCCTAAAAATGTCCTCCTCCCTATCCTTCACCCTCAGCCTCCAGCCCAGGGGGCCCATTTCTCACTGATCTTGTCTCACACACCTCACCCTCCCGCAGTAGCTCGTCCGCAGCTGCTCTCTTGCCACACTGGCCTCTCTGTACTCTCGTTACTACAGTATGTTTGCTTTATGTTCCTGCAACTGAAGACTTCTTAGCTCTCGGGTGCATGCTGGAATCCAATGCCTTAAAATGATGACCATCCAGCTAGGAACAGCTATGGCAGCAATAGGTTTTGAGTGACTGGGAATGAGGTGAAATACAAATAGAAAAGTGGGCTTTAGACAAAATCGACAGCTGGCTCGACCCAATGTCATCCTTATTGTTGGTGGCTCCAAGGGGCTTCATTTCCTGGAGATGCTGCAGAGGACTTATTTTGCCAAGATAATGGATGCAAAGTGGAATGGAAATTAGTTTAGTTACAGGAGAAAGGCAGGAGCAAAGGAGATGCTTAGTGATTGATTGATCATTGTATTACTAAAGTCAGTCAGATAAATAAATCTTCTAATCCCTGGGGGTTATTATGTGTAAAGTGGGGGGGGGACACAAGTCTTGAAGTCCTGAAGAGCAGGTTTCAAATTGTGACTCAATCCCTCAAGTGCTTAAAGCTACCTATTTTCTCTTTATAAAAGTGAGGAAATAATGTCCATCTTGTATTTAGGGAGCCTTATCTCAGATTAACATTGGCCCTTCATAGATAAAGCATTTCCAGGAAAACACAGATATTCCATCCATGCATTCAGTGTGGTCTCCTTATGCACTTACTTAAATGCCAGATTCTAATCAGCAATCTAATAAAAATATATAAACAATATCAAGACCTGGTAGTTCCTCTCGATTACTTGTTATGAATCAGAGAGCTAGAAAATGACCAAAGGTAACAGAAGAAGAATTGATGCCTCTGAGTTGTGGTACTGAAGAAGAGTATTGAACACGCCATCAACTGCCAGGAGAACAAACAGATATGCCCTGTAGTGGGTAAAACCAAGTTGCTCCTTGGAGGCAAGGATTTCGAAGCTTTGTCTCACATACTTTGGCCATGTTGCCAGGAGGGACCAGTCCTTGAAGAAGGACATCATGCTTGGGAGGGTGGAGGGACAGTGCAGGAGAGGAAGACCCTGGATGAGATGGACGAGTGTGTCAGCTTGGCTCAAGATAGAGCAGGGTTCTGAGGTGCATAGGGTCAATGATTCGTAGTTGACTTGATGGCACATAACAAAAACATCAAAACACAACAAAAATTGGCATTGCTTGATTGGAATTTCTTTTCAAGGTATACATACATGCATGATGATAAAAATATGATTATTCTTTTACTTTTCAAACAAAGTCTGCATAGTGGAGTGGACTTGGGGGAAGGAATTGCACAACAATGAAAGAATTTTACTTTTCAAAGAGAAGAGCGAACTGGGTGGGGGGGGGAAGTTGGGCAGGGAAAAAAGCGCAACAGTGAATGAATGGAAATCCAAAGTCTCTGTAAACTTTCATTAAAATTAAAAAACTATTAAAACTTTAAAAATGTATTAAAAATAAAGTTATGATTATAAAATTTTTCTTCATTGTAAAAAATTTTGAGAATGCAGAAAATCATAAATTCACCTACAATAATACCATCCAGAGACAACATATTCTCTGTATTCTGTGGGGTTGGTTTTTTTTTTCACGTGGCATTATATTGTGTATACTTTTTTCTACCATTGTTTTCTTTGTAAATATGATTTGTAAGGAATGTGTGCATGTCTTTTCAATATGTGAGTATAAATATTTTGTTCCCAGCTCCCTTCCCTTGTTGTGTACCATCAAATCAGATCCAACTGGCACAGGAGGAGATTTCCCCTCTTTCTCCAATGGAGCATCTAGTGAATTTGAACCATGCACCTTCAGGATTGTAGCAAAGCTTCTTGCCACTAGGCCACCAGAGCTCCCTGGGTATATAAATATTTTAACCTATAGTTATGCCTTTGGGTCACTGCCAATTTTCACTGTTATGACCAGCTTTACAAACACCCTTGTGTAGAAGTCTTTCACACATCTCTGATGCCTTAGGATAAATTCTCCAAGGCAATGTTACTAGGCCAAAGAGTATTAAGCAATATAAAAAATATAGGTTCATAATTTTACTGGCATTTCTTTTTTAAAATTGTAGCTTGGGTATGAAAGTTCATGAAGAAAATTACTTTCCCATCTAATTATTTATACACATTTTGTTTGGGGATCTTGGTTTCCGTCCCTTCAAGGTAACAGCACTCTTCCTCCTTCCTTCTTAAGTTTCTCATTTCCATTCACCCTTTCCAGCCTCTTGAGGTTTGTTTGGAGGCCTATGCAGCCATTTTGGTTTCCTACGGTTGCTTGGACCCAGAGGCTCCTCGCTTTATTCCTCTCTTCTTTTAATAACATTTCTCGAAGTGTACTGTTTCCCTCCACTATATACTAAAAGCAGTCATAACTGTTATTGTTAGGTGCTGTCAAGTCGACTATGACTAATAGTGATGCCGTGAACAATGGATCTGAACCCTATCCTATCCGGTGTCATCCTCGTCATTTCTGATAGACTTGAGCTCATTGCTGCAGCTGTTGTGTCAATTCATCTCCCTGGGAATCTTCTCATTCTCTGAACCTCCACCTTTCTAAGCATGGCGTCCTTCTCCAGGGACTAGCCTACCTTAACAACATGCTCAAAGTCTGTGAGGCCAAGCTTCAGCATGCTTGCCTCCAAGGAGCGCCCAGCTGCATCTTCTCCAGGACATATGTGTTTGTTCTTTTGGCAGGCCATGGGATATTCTCTCAACTGACTGGAAGAGAGAAGTCATAAGGGAGTCATAACTGAACACATGACCCTGATACGACTAAACTCATTGCCATCGAGTGGGAACTGACTCATAGTGGCCCCTCCAGTCAGTTCTCAGAGGCTGGAAATTGCACAGGAAGAAGCTCTAGTGGCCTAGTCGTAAGAAGCTGTGCTGCAATCCCAAGGGCACCCAGTTCAAACCCACAAGGTCTTCCATAGGAGAAGGATGGACAACCTACTCCTGTGCGATTAACTGTCTCTGAAAACCCACCAGAGGGTCAGCTATGGGTCGGTTCTGATTCCACCGCACACAACAGCAAACGGCACAGGGGACTGTTTATTTTACTCCCGCGGAGCAGCTGGTAGATTCAAACAATCCGAGAGGCGTGGCCTCTGGGTTAGCAAAGCAACTCCCTAC